CTCTGACGAACAGGTGGAAACACATACACTGGTGGAGTTACGCCCTTCTGTTTCTGCTATTATTGCTATGTCGTCACATCCAACAACTCTGAATTTATTCATTTCAGAAAAGCTAAAATATTGTGTTAAACCAATAGATACAACGAATCCCGCCGTCCAGTTGCCGAGTTGATTATAGCAACTTGAAGCCACCCGATTCTTGATGCGCACATGAGAATCTGATATATCAGTAACTTCGAGATGTCCGTCTCTGAGAAAGGGCTTGGGTGGATTGAAAGAAGTGTTGCAGTTGATATCAAACAATGGATCTATGGAACAACCAGTGCCTAAGCCAATGCCGAAAGGGTATGGAACTGTTAGATTTGCACATTTGCTCGGACATCTCGGCTTGGTTATGTTTGCCCCTTTCGTTATAGTTGTGGGGGTTCGGGTTGTGTTGACATTATCAGAAGCGGCCAATGCCAATGGAAGACACAAGAGAAGCAAAAGAACAGAACGCAGAAGCATGTTTGAAGTCGAAATTTAGTTAAAGCCTTCATAATACTGTACAGTCCTCATGATCAATGTTATATAGAGGTGAGCGACAATATTCGGCCACAAACTCATCTTTCCTGAGTATTTTATGTACACGCCGACGTTGACTCAAACATATGCGAAAATATTTTACATTGAAAGAATTAATAAAAGTGAGAAGACTAATCGAGTAAATGTACGTGTGCATGTTATATACTTCATAATTCAAGGTAAAATCAGAAGCTACTAAAAAGTTGTTTTTTCTATTCGGTCAAGGTCAAACATTATTCACAATAAATATCCATTTATTAGCTACACATTTCGTGGGATCAATATTGTTCTTCCTAGGAAGTTACTAATAATTTAACCTGAACATTGCATAAGCTTTGTCGATTACTAAGCTGAGCTTTAAGTAGTTATATGTTTTAAACTCTATGATTATTGTGGACTACTTAAACTACACAACAAGTGATATCAGGGTGAATGTTAGTAAATCTTGAAAGATCTCTGAAGCAAGTAATGAAGAAGAACAGTGGTTCACGATGAAGAATAGTGTGTGAGTTGGGGGTACATGGTAACATGGATAGTAAATGAAGCTGCACGGGAAAGGTAGAACACAGGCACAAGCTTGTTACGAGTGGAAATTTCGACCAAGGGAAAGATGAAAGTTACATGTAGGGGTGGGCAAAAGTACCGGAAGCAACTGAATTGGACTGAAAACTCATGGTTGCTCAGTTCCACGAAGAAAAATACTATTTTGGTTCTAAAAACCAAGAACCAGAAGCTACCGTATTTTTTACGATAGAACAGAATTCATAAAACGATCATGATGCAGCACTCCTTTTTTCTTATTTTAACAGAGACTAGGGCAAGGAAGCAAAATTTTACTATTTTACTGATTGATTCTGGTAGAATATCAGAAGTAATTAACTTTTGAGGTAAGATTTTCTCTTTTAGTTAAGACTAAGCTTACTCAGTTATTTCTTATGGGTTCATTTTAGTGTCATCCTCTTTTTTATGCCCCAAGAAGCATTTACATTTGACAACAAACCTCCATTACAGTTGGGGTTCTCAATACAATCATTAATTTATCAAGTTGCTGTCTGTCTTAATTGTAGCTGCCAAACTTGACCAAAAGCATCTGTACAGAGCTATTTGTCTGCAGTTGGGACCAAAAGCAATATGAAAAAGGATTAATCTATATGTACATAGGTGTACACATAGCACTTCCATATGAAGAAAGCTTCCCCGCCAGAAAGAACCAACAGATGCTTTGACACCCTCTCACATGCTTCGGGCCCCACATGAATAAAAAATTACAAAAAAAGTGGACACCACCCCCTATTGTGAGAGTCGGTCAGAGCTTCGGTTGGTTTTCTTTCTGTTGCTGCAGCACGGTTCAATGAAATTGCGAAATAACAACAACCGAACCGAAACCAGTCAGTTTTGGCCCGGTTGCGTTGTAGCACAATGTGAAAATTTCACATTGGTACCCGGTTTGTTCCTATATTATTCACTCTTAAATTTATAGACGTATTTTATCCACCAAGAAAACTCAGGTTGAAAATGTGTGTTTCTTTTATGAGATTGCCTAAATCGTGCAAACATACAGTAAACTTCATATACATAAAAATAAATCTACACAATGTATAGTGTTTTTTTAAGTGTTTACTGGATTACTAATGTAGGGTATTGATACAACTTAATCCAAAGAGTAATGTTATTCATCCCCAGTGGGGATGAAAACACAGTCTATGTGACGCTAAATGATAGGCTAAATGAAAAGTGAAATTAAATGACTTATTTAATTTCACCTATCATTTA